ATTCCCCAGCCAGCATGGCTGGCTGGGGAATTCTGGGAGTTGAAGTTCACTCATCTTAAAGCTGCTATGGTTGAGAAACACTGCAGTAGAGCATAGTATTGGGGAATCAGTGTGCTTAACACATTGCGCTCTGCATTATCCAGGATGGTCACTCAAGATGACTCTTGCCAGCTGCTGTCATAATGTGAAAAATCAGCCATGCTCCTTATTTTTTAAATTTATTTTTATGCTGCCTTTCAAGGCCAACACTTCCAATCTGGTGCTGAGGCACCCAAGGGTTTGTCAGGCAGGAGCATATTTATATATAATGCAGAAATGTAGTGCAGTGGACGGTGAAGCTTGGTTTGCATGTAACAAGCCACGATGTAGTGTGTTTGGGGGATGTCATATGCCTGTTAGGGCTAAGAATTATGGACAAATGCTTCTCAGCGCATGGTGGTTTGAAAAACCCAATGTAGGATATCAGCTGTGTGTTTTAGTATTAAGTGGAATGTTTTTTTTTAATTTCCATTTCTCAAGTAGTTTCTACATGATGGCTATAATTTAAGTCCTGGACTCAGCATTGAATCATTTGGTGTCATGCCATAGTATGTATCTGTCTATCTGTCAGCCTGTCTATCAGCCTGTCTATCTATACAATTCAGTGGCCTCCAAACTCCATAAGACTCTGGCTGGTTTATTAAAAATTAATAATAGAACAATAAAAACACAGATCATCTGCCTCTAGAAAACTTAATCAAATAAGATTGTATTTAAGATTTCAAGATTCCATGGCAGTGGACCAGTCTGTGATGGAGGTTCCTTGTCTGCAAAGAAGTATTTGTTCTCCAAGGAGCTTGCGTCTGTAACTGCATACGAGGAGAGTAATTTGGGGTGGGAAGAGGAAAACGGGGAAGAGCTTATTGTTCAGACTGGTGCACAAGAGCTGATGCTGGCGCTAAAACTCAGTACTTACAAATGTCTCTTCCAAATGAAGAAACTGTAGGCTGTTTTTTTTTTTTTTTTGCTTAAGGTCCACTGGAGTGATTTTAAATGTGTGCTTCAATTCTGCTCCCTATGAAGATTTTCTTCTCTTTTTTGCCCATGGAATGTATCTCCGTGTTTGCAACTTAGGATAATTATGGTGCATGTACACAATAGGGTTGTTTTTATAGCTGATGCCTGCAATAGAGCAGAAAAAAACAAATATTATCTCAGGCTTGGAAATGCCTGTTCCACTATTGCCCTTCCCAAGTAAAAACTGCTTTTAAACAGCAAAGCTGTGGAGCTTCTACGATGTGGATGTTTTTTTTCTTCGCTATGTTTCTCATTATGCACAAATATTGATAGAGCTTAGAGGAAACGTACAATAATTAAAACCACAAGGACTTGTTTAAGAAATTGTATTGTCATGTACTATGGCACATGGTTGGTTATGTTCTTATTGTTCTTATTGCTCTTCTTTTCCATCGTATCTCCTGTTCTTCTAGAAGCTTTGTTCTTTCCTAAGTCCTAAGATTGCTTAGGTCAGAACAACAGTTGGGCTCACAGCCTTTATGGAGGGAACAGTAGTGTTCAGAAAAGGGGCATCTGTGGGGGGGGGCATCAAAAAAAAGTCAAGGTGGCCGCTCCCCTGCAATCATGCCTCAGTCTTTGATTGTGCAGGCATGGCCACCATCTTGACTTTTTTGCCAGCCCCTTGTAGACACCCCGTCAGAAAATCTCCTATGTTGAAATCAAGGGATGGTTCTAAACAGAGCCCTATTCCGGGCAACAAATCTATAAGAAACCACCAATCAAAAAGGCAAGAGGACACACTGTTAAAAAATTGCATAAATATATTAGACTTGCTCATTGTGGAAACGAACTTCAGGACTGAATAAATATTGAATCTGCTCCAGCAAGTTTTAGTTCTGACAGATGATACACTGCCAGAATTTGACACTAGAACTGGCAATCACTTCTTTAGACTTTTAGGCCAGGTTGGGTCACCAGCAACTCCTGGGGTGCATTAAGACTCAGGACCTGTTTCATGGAAGTATAGCAACCTTATCGGATGAAAGAACATTGGAGACATGATTTCTTGCCTTTTGAGACAGGAAGTACAGAAATGTTGAAGCAGAAGCTATATGTTTGCCCAATGTGACCTTGCTGTGTCACCCCCCTCCCCATTCAATTTGGCACTTGGCTAGTTTCCCACTCCTGGTTTAGGGTATTAGTTGGTCAGTAGCAAGTCAGAGTTATGTGATAATCAACCTCAGTTCTTTAGTCCCAGCTGTTCAGCCACATGGGTAAGAAACTGAAATATTAGCTGCCTTCTGTGACACATAATGATAATTTTTCCATGTTGTTATGGAAACAGTTGATGACTCTGATGGGTCAGTGTGTGGTGTATTCAGCTCCCAAGGAGAAAAGAACTTTTTAGAGATTCTATAAATGAATCCTGTAGGAATTTGGGCTGCACCAGAAGAAAATATAGATCTGCAGAGAAAAGGGAAGCAGGCTTGAGAATTGTCAGGCTTTTTCATGTCTCCTTCTGGGGTTTCCCTCAAGAGCTGCAAAGCATAAAGATGTTTTTAAAATGGGAGTTGCCCTTTGTCTGAATGTACAGCATTAAACAGAAAAAATACTACTGGCTGTGTGAGATATTTGAGCTGGGCTGGTGTTTGTTCAGTCTTCTAATTATGAACCCTCTGACAATTCAATTAAAAAAGCAACCAACTCTTCAGGTGTTGGAGAGTCTGTTCTAATATAAAATCATGCTTCATCATATCCACCTCTAAAAGGAACCCCACTATTTCTGGATCCTCCAGCATCAGAGATTTATCCTTCAAGGATAAATCTCTGCAAACACTGAGCCCATCTTGAACCAGTGATTATAGCAGATAATAGCTTTATTCACTCCTAATTATTGAATTTGAGACTTCTAGAAGGTCGGCATGGTCAAACTAGCTATTATGGCCATGAGGGCCTTTTCTCACATCCTCCCAATCACGGCACCAATATTTCTTGGCAACCTCTTTTTTTCTGCCACTTCCCAATGACATTGCCTCTCATCTCATCTCATCTCATCTCATCTCATCTCATCTCATCTCATCTCATCTCATCTCATCTCATCTCATCTCAATCTGTGATGGAATGTGAGGGTGGCTTTGGAAGACAGGGGAAAGAGATGCCACCTAGGGAACGATCAGATAAAAGAGAAAGGTGTCCACAACAGAGTAACAGTCAAAGAAAGAAATTTAGGAATGACCCGCTACTCAGGCAGTCAATAGGAAGGGCAGGAGATTTGTGCTTTCAGACTTACAAGATTTTGTTAATGTAGCCTTACAATAATGTAGAATTAATTCATCTAGTCTTGTTTCCTGGCTGGTTTACCTGGAAGGGCTGACATCACCTCATCTCATTACACTGATCCCCAGCCTATGGGGGAGACAGTTTCAGTTGTCCTTAGCTGTATTAGCATTACAGTGTTTTCTCCTGTATTTCTATACAGTTCAAGATGTATAAAATGAGTTAAGCTATGCCACACATTACCTTGGAAGGAACCCAGATGGCTGCATGACTTGAAACACAGACAACAGAGGCAGGCAGGGATCAGCAACAGGACAGCAAATTTCATGCCAGTATATTTTTTAGGCTGGCTCAAGGATGAGTGGAGAGGACTTCAGCTCAGCAGTGAAGAAAGCCCTTTAGTTGTTACTCATAGTTGTGCTGCATGAATGACAATAAAATAGCCTTCTGGAATTCCCAGCGGTCATCCAGACTAGGAATGATGGATGTCATTGTGCTATACACCTGGAGTGTGTAATGTGAGGAATGTTCATTGCATCTCTACCTCTTTATGGTGAAACGCCCTGGATTTGGTACATGTTGATCATTGTTCCTGGAGAGTGGAGGAGTGGGCATGGAGAAAGGCCCCAGAAAATATCAGATATGAATATGAAATGGACTAAAAGACCATAAACGTCCTGAGGCACTTCTGATGTTTTCTATGTAGTGATACTGATTGACCTCTGTGCTTAGCAAGTTGCAGCCTCTCTTATATCTTCACACAACCCCCTTTCAGTATAGTCATCTTAAGAATAAGCTCTCTTCAGAATTATCTCAGAAAGTCTCTGGATCATTTTCTTCAAACACAGAAATGAACAAAGCTCAGTTTCATCTGTTGCCATGGGTTGTTTATTAACACAGGGTTGCAGTTTTGCCTTTTGTTTGAGTATTAGAGGTGTTTTTCCATCATCTTACAGTCATACTCCCAGGGCAGTTTACAGACGGTATAAAACAATGAGAAATATAAACCAGAACCCAAAAGTGGACATTTTAAAGTCAAATAAATCAGCAAGATCAACATTTTAATGACAACCATGGGAAAATAAAATGAAACTTTTGTGTGTCGCTACAGAGATGGCCCTTCTCTACTTCCACTTTGGATGGTGGGGCAACAAGAGAAAGGTTAATGCACATAACTGTATGGAGGCACCAATAGAAGAGAGTATCTGTAGCTCAGGGATGAACCGTGAAGTTCTTGGTACTCTCTGAGCTTGGTTGATTGCTTGTAGATATTTCATTACCCGACTAGGTAACATCATCAGTGATGTTGTATAGAGGCAGTTTGTTCAGCACACATCCTGGTCTGTTACAAAGTCATGTATGGAAATAACTGATCTGTCTCCCTATATATATACTGTATT